CAGCTCCCAGCATCGCTGCGGCCACATGCGGATCCCTCCATGCCCGGTCCAAGCTGAACCCCGTTTCCTGCAGCCCCCACAGCAGAGGCTCCCCCAGCACCAAACCTGCAGAGCCCTGCCCCAAACCACAGCAGAAACACTCAAACCAGACCACTGAGGCTGCAAAGGTGCCCAGGGCTGCAGGGCTGGACACAGCATGAGTGATGCGCCCTGGAGCTGCAGGGACACCAACCCTGGAGCCATGCTGGGGGGGGTGGCTGCAGTGTGTCCCCCACCCAGCACCCTGCGAGCATCCAGCCCCAAACACCGCTGGTACCACCCCAGAACGGGACTTTCCTTCTGCTCCCAGAGCGCCAGACGTGAGGAGATGGCCATGTCGGCGAGCGATGGGGCTCTACAGGACCCACGGGCAGGGAGAGAGCAGAGTTAGCCAGGGGCTACCGCTGGCCAAGGGGCCACGCTCAGGGCTGTGCACTGAAGGAACGGGGCTTTGGTGTGCTGGGGAGGGCACAGCCATCAGCAGCCACATCCAGCCCCTGCCGTGGCCCAGGGAGGTGATGGCACAAGGTGCTGGTGGCACCGGGGCAGTGCTGGGGCCCCGCTGCCCTGCACTGGGCGGCTGCAGGAGCCAGCCCGTGCCCCGCTTTGGGCTGACCCCGGCTTCACCTGTCGAGATCATTCATGCCCCGAGCGGGTCGGGGCTCGCCCGGCCCAGCCGCTCGCTCCAGCGCCCGCATCGCCTTGTACAGTAAAGGGCAGGAGCGCCAGGAGCCGGCTCAGGAATGTCATCTGCTCCTGGGGCAGCGGCCCCCCGTGCCACAAGCCCTGGCTCCCAGCGGGGACAGGCACTGCCCCGCCGCTGTGCCCCCGGACAGGGCTCGGTGGTCCACGGGGTAGAACCGGCCCCAGACAGCGTGGCTGGAGCCCAACAACACCCGGGGCCGGATCCTCAGTCCTGCTCCACGCAGGGGGAAACTGAGGCACGGAGAGGGCAAGTGCCTGGGCCAAGCACACGGCACGGCACGAGTGAGGGCTGGGGACCGGCACCGGCACCACCCCGGCTCCCCCGCTCAGGGATGCGGCCCCATGCGGGGCTGGTCCCCACGCGGGAGCCGGCTGGGGGCTTGCTCCTGCTGGCACCCAGGACCCGCTGCCATCGCGGCGGCGGCCAAGATCCGAGGTCCCGAACCACCCCCCCCCCCGCACAGGGCAGGAGGCACCGTCCCCGTCCCCATCCCCGCTCCCACCGCAGCCCTCCCCGGCACGGAACAGCGGCTGGAGCCGCCGCTATCGCCGTCCGCTCCCACCTAAAAATAGCCGCGAACGCGGAGGGGCCGCGGCCCCGTGCCCGCGCACCCCCCCCGGCCCCCGCGCACCCCGACCCGCACCCGAGCCCCCGAGCACCCAGTACCTGGCGGCGGCGGCGGCGGCACCGGGACCGAGCGAGCGGAGCGCGGCCGGACGGGACGGGACGGGAGCGGCGCCGCCCCCCGCGGCAGCTGGGCTGCCCCACGTGGCACGGCTAAAAATACCCCTGGACGGCGGAGGGGAACGCGGGGCCTCCCGCCCCTGAGCCCCCCGCGCACTCCCGGGGGTGCACCCGGGTCCCCCCCATCGCGGGTCCGCAGCCGGCAGCAGCGGGGACCTGCTCTGGGCTGACGCGGCTGCCCCATCCCCGGCGGTGCTCAAGGATGGACACAGGGCTCAGAGCAAGCTGCTCCAGTGGAACGGGTCCCTGCCCGGGGCAGGGGTTGGAGCTGGATGGGCTTTAAGACCTCTTCCAACCCAAACCAACCGTGATTCTATGGTTCTAATAGAGTCAGGTTCTTCTCTTCCTGACGTGCTGTGAGTGCCCTTGGGAACAGCGTGGCCCACGGGCAGGACGGGGCCAGGGCCACTGCAGGGCTCTGCCAGCAATGGCCTGGGGCTGGAGAAAGCTTTTCCTGGCAAGGCTTCTCCCCCTTCCCTTCCCTTCCAGAGCTGCTGGTCCCATGGGATGGGGCTGACCCCGGGATGGGTGCTGGTGGCTGCACCGACCCTCCCGGAGTGGATTCCATTTTAAACATGAGTAATCCCATTAACTTCAGTTCTTTGCTGGAGCGGGTTAAGCCGTGGCAGGGGTTGGAACTGGATGAGCTTTAAGATGCCTTCGACCCAAATCAATTTGTGGTTCTGTGACATGAGCCAGCCCTGGCTGCTCTGCTGCTGCAGGAGGGGACCCCGGGATGTCCCCTTGGAACATGAGTCAGGGCACAGGCACTGGGCTCCAGGAGCACCCGGCCCCTCACATCCCGATAAGGGGAGGATGAGCTGGGGAGGGACCCGAGAGGAGGGCCCAAAATAGCCTCCAGTCAATGGAAAGAAGTCACCGCAGCGCTAAGAGCAGCGCCCTCAGCAGCACGGGCAGGGAGCAGGCAGGCACCCGGCGTCCCTGGCATCACCATTCCCAGCCTCACCTCCCCACTGAGCTCTGCCAGGGATAGGGCACATGGAAGTGCCACCAGGTAACCCCACAGTGACCATCAGGATCCATGTGCCACCCACCACCAGCACCCACCACCCGGCCTGGGGCTCAGGCCAAAGCCAACCTGCAAAGGCAAAACCCAGCATCCCCCTCCAGAGCTCCATGGATGCGCTCAGGCATCAGCACCCACAGCTGGGAAAGCTGTTAGGAAAGGAGGTAACTGCTGGTCTGCAGGTCCCCCACAGGAGGCTGAGGCCGTGCAGTTTCAGATCATCCCTCCCATGGTCCCTGATGGCACCACAGCCATGCGGGAGCCCCTGCAGGGCTCATGGCTGGGCATGAGCTCTTGGAAAGCTGCTGTTCATCACCCAAAACACACCTCATGGGCCCTGCCAGGGCCGGGGTTTGTGCTGCTCCATCACACCAGGCCAGAGATCATCCCTCAGCCCCCTCCTCACCACAGCAGGCACTGTCCCATCTGCAGCCACGAGCGGAGAAAGCACCAACAACCACAGTTCCTCTGGTGAGCAAAGGGCAGGTGGCGATGCAGGGATGCGGGGATCCATCCAGCCGGGCAGGGACCGGTGAGACCGAAAGAACCAGGCGGCAGCACACACGCAAAGGACGGTTTTTATTGGGGTTCTCGTGGTATGAGAGCAGTTGCACTGACCAACACACAGAAGCAGCTTAGCTGTGCCAAGAGAATCCTTCCAAAACAGAAGAACGGTGGGATGAACCAGGAGTAGCACATCACAAATCCGCGGGGACCTGGAGCTCACCCCTGGGAGGAGAACCCTGCGCGTGCAGCAGCGAACACGGGGCACCCCCTCCTCTGCACAATAAATATGAACAGAGCCAAGTACATAAAACAAAGTGATTCTCGTAGATACAATATCTAAAGGTATTTACACACACTGGCTTGTCTGACCATTAAATTACACACTGAAAACAGGTTCTCTTTCAATATAGCTCTTTAAACGACTCGTAGCTACTCATGTGAATCTGCTCCTTTTAGTTTGTCAAGGACTGAATGCAGTGCTCATAAAACACCTCTCTCAGGATGCTCTCGCTTTATTCTGTTTTTCAGACTCATTTTTAGTTGCCACCTCGCCTGCTCTCTCCTCCCTCCTTTTCCTTAAGGAAAAGTTGCCTGATACAGCTGGGAAAGCCTCCTCCCAGCCCTGCGTCCAGGTAAGCCCGCACCCTTGTCTCCTGCTCCAGTCTGGCAACACACCAACTCACCCAAACCTGGATAAATCCTGACCCTGCACCGACCAGCACACAGCGCCCACTCCCAGGTTTTCCAATGAAGCCCTGCGTGGGCACACGTGGGGTCTGAAGCATCGGGATCCCAATCACCCAAGACACCACAACCCCACTGGCATCAGCATCCCTGCCGGTGCTCAGCGCTGCAGTCCGCTCCTCAGCTCAGGAATACACCACCATAGGGCAGGAGCGAGGAGGGGAAATGGAAAACGGGGAGGGAAAGGGATGGTGGAAAAGCAGCCAGCCCCATCCCTGCACTGGGACACGTCCCAGCGAGAGGCAGCTTCAGTGGCAGGGCTGGCAGCAGCCAAACCTCACCCTGGGTTAAGCAGCACTGGACACGCACCTCGGGCTCCACCATGGTGGCAATCAAAGGCAGGCGCTTCAATGCCGCGATTACTCCTCAAGCTGCAGGCGCCGCGGCTGCACTGGGGTATTTTTAGCCAATGAGTTATCCCATGAATTTGGTGCTATTTCTGTCCCCTGCTCCGGAAGGAGCTGCCAGGTTTGGTCACCTACAGCCTGCTCAGTGGTGGCTGCAGCTCCTGCCAGCCTCTGCCCCGGGCAAGCCTCAGGGAGCACCGGGTTCCCTTCCCAACATCCTCGGGCACAGCCCTGCACCAAGCATGGAATCTCTTCCCTGTGAGGGTGCTGAGGCGCTGGCACAGGGTGCCCAGAGAAGCTGTGGCTGCCCCATCCCTGGCAGTGCTCAAGGCCAGGTTGGACACAGGGGCTTGGAGCAAGCTGCTCCAGTGGAAGGGGTCCCTGCCCGTGGCAGGGGTTGGAGCTGGAGGAGCTTTAAGGTCCCTTCAACCCAAACCAGGCTGGGGTTCTACAGGCAGGCATCTGCCAGGACACCTCCATTGTCTTCACAGCTCCAGCCAAGTCATCACCCTGAACCAAGGTCATTCAGCACCAGCAAAAACCCCTTCCGGTGACCCCATTCTGCCGTCACCGCTGCCAAGCGGCCACCGCTGCCCTACACAGACCGGCCCGATGACAGCCACTGCTGGAGCGAGCCGCGACCAAGGAGCTCCGAAACCTCTGAGCTGATGCCTGAGCTCTTTCAAACACCAACCCAACTCCTTGCCCCCATTTAAGGTCATTGACTCTCGCCCCTCGCAGACTCACGTGAACACCAGCTTCCTCTCCGGAATGCCGAGGGATAACGGGGAAACTGAAACCCAGCAAATCGAGGGGGGGGGTCTGCACTTGGACAGGGTCCCGACGGCGCCTGGAATCACCGTGCTGGGAACAGAGGCTGCACAGATGAGGGAAACTGGGGTGCCTTTATTACGAAAACCAGAATAAAGCTGATCCTGCTCGAAAGGAGCTGCTGGTTCCATACCTGTCCGGAGCAGAGATTCTGCGGAATGTCAGAAGTCGGAGAAACACGTATTTAATAAATAATATAAAATGCTTTTTTCTCTTGTTAAAATAGAATTCTGGGTTTATAGCTACAGAGCACAGCGACCTTTACATCAACAAAATAAAGCTGAGTCCGGGGGGGATCAGGTTAACACAAAAGAAAATACAGTTGAACAACAGGATTAAAGCAGCCGATGTTCAGTCCACACAATATGTACACCATGGAATAGAAATCAACAGAAAACAAAAGGGATCACCTGGAAATTCCTCAGACATCTGGATATACATCTGGGCTCTGTAGACTTTAGATATTTTCCTTTCTTTTCTTTACAATATTAAAATTAATACTATGCTTTCTCAAAATACACTTCTCAGGGTTTTTTTTTTTCTCTCATTCGTGGAATTGACGCATTCCTTACATTAATCAACACAACTAGAATTATTTACTTGCTACTGTACACTTCAAAGTAATCCTTCCTCCATCCCAGGCACACCTGGAGCGGGAGCATCCCGGATTGGAACACCTGCATCCCGGATTGGAACACCTGCATCCCGGATTGGAACACCTGCATCCCTGCCACGTGCTGGGTGGGGACAGCGAACCCCCTGTGCGACTGCGAGTGGCTGCGGTGCGGGTACGGCCAGGGAGAACTGAGGCCTAAAGCGAGCAGCTGGCAGGGAAAGAGCCACGCACCAAGCTCCGAGTATCCTTCTTCCCACGAGCTAATGCACTGCAAACCTCACCACATGCACTGGGGCCTGATCGCACCCTTGCTGCTGTGCACCATCACACCTTGAGCTGCTCCAACAACCTCAGCTTGTGCAGGTCACAACTGAGAGAAACAGCTTTGCTTTCAGCACCAAACGCGTCTCCTGTTACCTGAGCACTGCCACCAAACTCCTGCGCTGTATTCAGAGCACAACCAACCCAAAGCTGTGGCTGCCCCATCCCTGGCAGTGCTCAAGGCCAGGTTGGACACAGGGGCTTGGAGCAAGCTGCTCCAGTGGAAGGGGTCCCTGCCCGGGGCAGGGGCTGGGGCTGGAGGAGCTTTAAGGTCCCTTCCAACACAAGCCAGGCTGGGATCGATTTCCTTTATTCCCCCCCTCCCCATATTTACAGCAACTCCCATCTGACAAAAATATCACCCTACCTCAAGGAAGGGAAAGGGGAAAGGACATGGAACAGTCACAGCTCCTCGAGCAGTCGCTGTGACTCCCCAGCCCAGCGCCGGCAGGAATTACACATCCTTCTCCCATCACATCACTCAGGCGCTTCCTATTCAGGATCCAGTCATTCGTCAGCTCATACATCAGACCCAAGGAATACCTGGAAAATAATCCCTGCGCACTGGAGGCGCGTGGCTGTGTCTGGGGAGTGCTGAATACGGCACCGAATTCTCTGGTTTGGAATTCTCTGGTTTGGAATATAAGAAACAATCCCTGAACACGCTCTGAACATGAAGCAGAACATCAGCACGGCTGCCACGTTCGCCAGCACATTCAGATACCTTGTGTAAAAGTCTGTGTTCAGTCATTCACTGCTGCTGCCTGACGCTCTCGTTTCTTTTCTCTTCACTTCCCTGAATCATGGAGGAAAAACCCCCAGAACTCCCCCCCCCCCAAACCCAAAAGGAAAGAAACAAACCCCCCAGCCCCCCAATCCCAGTCCTAGAGTTGTGCTCAAAATGAACCAAAGACCACACCATGCCCCAGGTGCTCTGTGTTCAATGACATTTTCCACACACGCAGCCAAAGCCCTTCCCATCAAGTAAGAGCATCTTGTGCAAGAAACCTCAGAGAATCCGGTCCCCAACCCAGGACCGAGCCGCCCGCAGCAGTGCCTAACACTGGCTTTGAGATGTGGAATTCCAGCTCTCCCTCCCTTCCATGCAGAACCCCACTTGTTACTGGGATCTGATGCAACCTCTCCCCTCCCTACAGCACAACAGTCACCAACATAAAGCTTTTCTAAGCGGTCAACGAATCAGTTGACTGAAGAACTGACACCGCGAGCGGGGCTGCCCTGAGCCTGCACGAAGCAAGAAGGACCCCATGAACGAGTGTGCTCCAGGGCACCCCAACTCCATTACACTTCAAGAAGTGCCTATTTCCCTCAGTCAACACACAGCCTTCATTTCATATAAAACCTATGGGTTCGAGGCACATTTTCCCAACTGCAGATGTGTCCCTGCCCTCCTCACGGACACATCAGGAGCTGCAAAACGCTTCCAACAAGGATTTAGAGTAAAAAGCAACCATGGAAAACAACTGAAAGAGAAGAACGGAAGCGATCGTGAACTAGGGACATACAAACACGCTACATGAGAACTAAGAGCGGTTTTCATCACAATCTGAGGGCGTTTTTCCAAATCAAGAAGGGAAATAAGCCCATTGCATGGTATTGTAGGAAAAGCTTAACACCACCCAGTGCGGAGTCAGCACCAGTGAGATGAGACTTTTCCTATATTCCACTGTCATAGGCACCACCCCTGCTCCTTACAGAGGATGCTGAGGTGCTAAGCATCACTTACCAGTAAGGATGGCAGAAGCTGGTACTCTTTATACTGAATAATATGAAAAATAAATGGGGGGATCATTAAAAGCTATCACCTGATTGACAGGGGGTATTTTCCAAAGTGCATTTTCCATTCACACTGCACAGGATGGTCGAAGCACAGGCTCTGGGGGTTAAGCGACTTCCAGAAGCAAATCCATCCAATTTTATCACAAGTGTGCTCAGGATGAACTCGTGCTTTTAACACATTTCTCCTGGTTTTGCTAATTTGTACTTTTCTACATGGAAACAGGCCCAGACTCCATGGCAATCTGTTAGTGACACCAGCCAGTACACACCAGGGCACAAAGCACGCTGCCTGTGCAACTGCTGTCCCATCCCATGCAGGTACAGCTCCCATCATCTTTAGGGACTAGGAGACTTGTACCATCACAGCCAGGCAGAACACGTTCCGGTGTTCACTGAATCGGAAGAAAAGCTCAAATTCAGCCCTGACCTCCCTCTTACAGAACACCAGCACAGCCAGGGAAAGCTGACCTGACGTGCCCGAAGTTGTCTAACAGCTAAGAGATTATATCTGTACTTCAGCAAGAGTTTCCACATGACAGGACTGACGTCTCGAGCAGAATTAATAGAAACCTGGCATTTGATCAGCTCGTTTTTCAGTTCCATCCCAGTATTTTCAGACTGTTTTCAACGTGGACAGTTTGAACTCACTAGAAAAGACAATTGAAAGTCCTTTTGCAAGCTGAGCCGTTTGATGGGTGCACAAAGCTCCTGAGCTGAGCTACAGCGATGGCCCGGGCTACCTACGCTATGAGAACACGCTTGCTTCATGGTTTTGTGTACAACAGAGAGGGATCCACAAGTCCCATAACTGAGGAGTGATCCCGACTACGTACCGAGGTACCCAGACACTTTAACCCAGTACATGCACTAGTATGCATTGGATTTGAGTAATTTCTGTTTAATCTTTAAAAAGTGCAGTTGACCTGAAATGGAAAAGAACTGTCTTTATGTTCACTGTAAACTTGTCGAAAGGAATCTGCTCTTTAAAAACTGTGCTAAAATAGTCAAATTTATACAACAGAGCACTAGATGAAGCTACCATAAATTCCTCTTCACCAATTATTACTCTAGGGTGTCAGTTATAGTACTGCATATACGTAGAAGAAGCAAAACGGTGGTAGCTACTATTAGTGAGTACAACAAACCATGTGAATAATTTGAGTTCAATGCTTCCATGAAGTAGCAATAACATTTAAACCACAGGACAGTTAGAATTCAGTACTTTGAAGTGCATAAGAGTCACACTGTTGATCGTCAGCAGTATGGAGAAAGGTTATTACAAAGTCAGCAGTAATGGTCGGAAAGAACATGGCAACACAACAGACTGAAGGTTATCCAACACAGCAAGTCTGCAGCTCCTCCTGCAGCAGAGGGGCTCGTCGGTCCCGCGCAGACCTGTGCTCCCAGCCAGCAGTCACCAGCCCAGTCTCCAGGCTTGGAGAGTATTGCAGAGAGAACAGGATCTTCCTTCCATCAGTAGTTCCAGGCAACGGACCACGGTTCCGACACCGCCAGGGTGGGGAATGCATGGGAGCAACATGCAGCCTCTACGCTCGGCAATCTCCACCGCTGCTAGGAGCATGAATTCACTTGCCACGGTTCCAGTCCTCCCAACCTCCAGACACAGAGTTCTGACATATCCCACGCTGTAAACATCAAGTTCTTCCTCTTCTAAGCACATCCCGCGGGCAGGATTGCACAAAGTAATTCGTAAGGATTCTGTGAAACTCGGCATGTTCACGAAGCAGCTTGCCCTAAGTGAACCTGGGTTGCTGTTCCTCCTACAGACCATTGCTATTCCTGTGGCTGAGCGGTGGTTTGGAAAGCTCTACAACTGTGGAGCGAGATTTATTGAGAAACTTGGGAGCCCGGCGCAGCAACCTCTGTGCCTCAGTAAAAGCTTCTGTCAGCTCCTTTTTCCACTGAACAAATTCTGGGTCGCTCTGAAAGAGATACAGAAGTCGTTTGGCACTTCACAGCAAACTGCCAATAGCGTCTTCTCTCTTAGCTAGCCCTTTAAAAGCAACTTAGTTTAGTTCTCTGCAGGGATGAGGAGCTTTGGGCACTGAAACGTGCAGCCCTCGCTTCTCCAAAGCCAGGCAAGGCAGCAGCAACTACGGGCGGTCCAAACGTGCTGAGCACTGGTGTACTTCCTCCCTTGCAAACACATCAGCTACCACCAACCGACACGTGCCAACAAGGCCTTCCAAGCCCACGGAGGCTGAGAAGATTTGAGGTTTTTAGCTATTTACTATTAAACTATTTAACCATTGAAGTCCAGGACAGGAGCTGCATGGTTTCCTGCTTTCAAAACTCGGGGGGGATAAGAACTTCCCAGTTCTGCTTAGCTTCATAAAGTACCCTTAGCTAATACGTAATGGGAGGACCTGAAAAACTTCAATCGTTTTATCATACGCAAAATCAACCTGATTAACAGTTACTGAAAAACAAGGGTCTCACCTCACACTGCAGGACAAACTGTTTTCCTCCTTTAATCCTCAGTAAGATGCATTTCTTATCTTTAATTTGTGTTTCTTCAACAGACACTATTTGTTCCATTGTCAGAAGGCTTTGCTGTAGCATTTGCAAAAAAGCAGAGAGATGACTGAAAAACCCTTCCTGCCCATCAAACAAAACCACTACCTAATTTCTCTGGACTACCCACGTAAATCGAGTTATGAACATGAACAATCATTACGCAAACATTTATTTCTGAAGAGTGGGATCATCAGCTAAAGATAGACTATAAGGTAAGAGAGGGATTTAGCAAGGGGCTTGGTTGCTCCAACAGATGCAACAAAATACAAGCTAAGGAATGACAGCACAAAATAAGAATCTACAAATAGGTGTGTCTACAACCAGATAGTCACTGTTTTCCCTCAAGAGAGTTGCAAATAATGCTATTTTCCACGTATTAGTGCTGTTACAAATAAAGAGCATTTTGACTATTTCAACGAGCTGAAAGGGAATGAATATTGAAGCACTCTATACTTGCAAAGAGGCAAACATAAACAGTGTGCAGAAAAGCTTTCCCGATGGACAACAATGTTTTGAAACT